TCATGTTATTAAATTATAACTTCAACCACTCAGATCGGTTTCCAAATACTTTAATTTCCTGTTTGTTGAAGAAAACTGCTGCAACTCTGAACCTGCAACAAAGTAAAAAAATTGAAAAGAGAAAAATAAATGACCCGAAGATAGGCAGTTGAAAAATGTGAAGGTCCGGAGAAAAATTTCGCCAATTCTCAACTCACAAGCAAACAATTATTTTAAACTATTCCACTCCTAAAAATCTTGCCGAAAAATGTATATCTGGTATTTCGTGCCAAATGTCACAGTAATTAAATTCTCACAGTGGGACTCCTTTTTTCCCTTCTTCTTCTGTTTTTGCGAAAAGTACTTTTTCGTAAAGTTTCAGGCATTTATCAACGCAAAATTGTTAGATATTTATAGACGTAACTTGAAGTATGGAAGACATCGTTGCAGAAAATTGTAAATTGAAAGTTAGAAAAAATTGGAAAATCAGAAACCAGTACATCGATTTGAAACAGAGGCTCAATATGTCACCAATCATCCACTAAAACTTACACTTATGGTGAAAAATTAAGAAAATTGGAATCACCCGTATCGCCGAGCAATGATGATTTATTAACGATGCACCAAGTCATTTGCTTTTCAAATGAGGAGCGCAGTTTGACAAACGCTTAGCAAATCGCTTATTAACATGACAAGTATCAGCTACCATTGAATGAAGATTATTTTTCCTGCCCTCGGTAAATTAGTATCACGAGCAACACTCTTAATTTTTGACTTACGTTAGATTAAACCACTTTGTCTCTGATTTTAACCACTGAAAGTATCCTCCATCTTTCACCCACACTGATCAGTCTCGTATCGAGTAATATCTGCCATCATGACGTCACAACATATGAAGATTATCATAATCTCTCAGTCACTCACCTGTACCAATATTTAGGCATCAGTTTGTCTATCACGCACCATTTGGTAGATGGTGGTATTTTTTTGCTGCACTTCCAAAAGCTTCCTCCTCCAACCCCAAGAGATAATGAAGTTAAGTGATGGACTAAATAGTGATCCACTGGACTTCCTTTATTCAATTTTATCGACCAAGAGACCTCAACACTCGATGGCGAAATGCGTTTTACTTTTGGCGCTGATGGTGGAACTAGACCGGCTGAAAATGTAAATGTGTCTAATTAAAAAATCAGAGATGTCTCCTGCATTTTGTTTCATTCAACAAAAATATAATTTACAGTATTTCCAATGTTGATCAGCCAATCGATTTGGTTTGGATCCATGATATTTTGCATTATTCTTACGGTAGGTAAAAATGTTGTGATATCCGCGATGAAGTACCGATATAAATGGATTTTCGTATTGCCAGCTCAATTTTTTTACTAGGGAAAAAGTACCATTCTCTGATTGATAGGCGAGTGTTACGCTTCCATGAATGCAGGAATGTTCCTTTACTCCTAATTTTGGACCAAGGTGAATAAACAAAATAGCGACAGATATCTGTACATGATGAGCATCTTTTGATATCCAGTTTTTAAAATTTAGGTTCTGAAGAGCCGTCAGACAAAGGGAACATTTCATGAAACTTTATGGAATGAAATTTCCTCGGTAAAATTAAATTCCCAGAAATCAAATTTCACATTTCTGTCGTTTATGGATATTTTTGCCGATAATGCACTTTTTCCCGTAATTTTCACTACTTTTTTTCTCGAAATTACAAATTTTCTTTAGATTGTGTAAATCAGGACGTATACATAGGTCCTCACCGGTCCACAATCAAGCCAAAAACTGACGAACCACAATCAGAGAACGTTCTTGACATGACAATACTCTCTCTACACGGGAAATATATTTCGCTTTGCCCGCCACAGCAGTATAAAGGAGCAAGACAACTTCCAAAAACCTAATATTATCAAAAAATAAGTATTGACAGCTATCCTCGCTACACAAAGAATAAACACCACCATAGACCATGGTGTAACACTGTCATGACGAGAGGTGTTTGCCATCAGAATTTATCACTCATCGCCATCAGAAAATTTGATCTATGATCAAAAGAAAATAGAATTCCTGACATTCAACGCGGTGCGTTAAGGAGGCTATCGATAACAATCAGCAAACATTTAGTTACTATAACGAAAGCTTCCATGTCGATATAACATATTTTGTTTCTCTGGCGGGACCAATTTCATAAAAACAAGAATTTTATTGTTTTGACATCAAAATATTAATTTTGAGTAAAAAATCGCTTTCTTGTCGAAAAAATTATTTTCTTCAGCGTATATCCAGAAACTGCTGGAAAAGCTGTTTTTGCGTGATACGAATCAAATATTTTCTGGTGAGTGTAAATTAATCTTTGAATAAAACCATACTTTTTTGAAACTCGTCTGCCATGCATGCAATGGTATATAGGAGTGACCCCATCATTTTAAGCATCTACCCTCTCCCCTGTTCGTCCTCACGATACCGAAATTAATATTACTAGCACCACGGTGCCAGCGTGACCACGCAGGTTTATCCTTCATACGAGCCCTCTAGTCTTAAGGTGATTCGATGGGCGCTGTAATTTGTGTCAGAATGACATGCAATACATCGCATCGATTAGTTCCATTTTTTTCAGCTACTCGTCATTTTTCTTGAATGTTGAGATCGCAATCCTGTTTGTCAGAAGACAAAAGAATGCACTTGCCAATTTTGACGAACAAATTCAACGTAATAAAGGCGTGGTTTTTTTAGAAGAAAAATATCGCATTCGATACTAGTATCGAAACTTCACTCGCATGAGATATTTTCTCTCTGAAAAAACCAAGCCTATACTACGTTAAATTTGTTTGTTAAAATTGGTGAGTGAATTCTTTAGTCTTCTGACAACAGAATTGTGATCTCAAAATTCGAGAAAAATGTCGAGTAGCTGAAAAAATGGAACCAATCGATGCGATATATTACATGTCGTTTTGACACAAAGTATGGCGTCCATCGAATCACTTTAACTGTGTTACATCATAATCTTGTCATTGACCAAGATGAAAAACTACAAGTAAATGCATGTTGATAAATGCAATGAATTTAAATGCACGCAAAGTTTAAATGCATATGTTAGGATTACTTGTGTTCACAGCCGGTCCGACATTGTAATCCCCGAACTGGCCGAGCTGGTTATGCGCCATAACTTGTGGCTCATCTGGATATTCCTCATCTCTGGCCTCAATCTCGTTATCTAAATGAAGAATATCATTTTTAATAGCTACAATTTCCTCTTTTCCAGTTCGTCTAGTCCCTCCAGCTTTTTTTAACTGAACTTCTTCCTCCTTAACCAAGAGAGCATCTGAAATAAAAATTAGAACTAAATAGAACCTCTCATGTTTCATTGATCATAGGTAGCTTTAACTATCAAAATGGGGACCTGTGAGTGGACTCATTTAAATATATGTACGTAGGGATGATGATGGTGTGATATCGAAAACTTTGACCCTGCAAACCATTAAACCTCACATTTTTTCTTATCTGTAAATAAATATTCCACTCGATCATGGTGCGACGCGTACATAAAAGATTGATTAGAGTCAATCAATTTTTAACAAAACATAGTATGGATTGTATTCTGCAAATAGGAACCGAAAGCATCCCAACGTTACTAAGATTGTGCGCCTTTTTTTACCTCGCAAACATAAACTGATCATCTAAACAAGATCTATCTTTACTCCCAATAGACGATAAATCCAAGATAAAAATTACCTCTGTAAATTTAATTTTATGCATGATATCAGTAATTTTTTTCCGAAAAATATTAGGTGCGCGCTCCTAAGAACACTGGAATGCTCTTAGTTCCTTTTTTAAAAATGTAATCCAATTGTGATGGATTCATTCATGCCTAAGGATACTAATTACTCCCCTATCGATTGCTAATATCGATTTTGCTGCACCGGTTTTGTTTTTTATTTGCTTTTGCCCCTTTAAAAAACGACTAACTGCGAATAAAATGGAATGTACGGACCTGGTATTGGTGGTGTGCCCGCAAAATCAAAGATTTGCGTATGATTCAGGTAGTCAAATGGATCGATCGCGATGACCATAAGGTGTATCGTGTAAGGTGCTATTTCCTTTTCTTTGTAAACGCAAACATAATCATTAGAATCGTTTACTGTCACATTCTTGACGAGATAATATCCATTATCAGACAGTGGTTTAACGTCCTCATTGTGATATACGTCTGCAAAAAAAATTACTTAAAAAAGGAGCAAAAAAAGGACAATAGAAAACGAAAGCGGAAGCTCAGCAGAGTTTGCGTGAAGAGGGGTTTGCCATGCACAGAATAGCACACAGCACTGAGTTAAGGGGCTTGGAGGACAAGGCGCATAAGTTCAAGTTTTGCTATTTCGAGAAGTAAGTTTTTGAAATTTCGAAATTACATGGATCCTTATGGCGGAAAGAAAGTTCAAACTGACTTTTTTATGTTTAAAAATTAGAATCCGGGAGCAAATTCTTCACAAAATATGCATTAAGACTAGTTTCACTTGAAATCATTAATATCTAAATTTTTTTTAAAAAAATTGCACTTATGCGCTTTGTCCTCCGAGGCCCTCGGTACATAATTTGATTTCATCTTGCAAAAAGGAACAACTGTTACTGGCTCATCCATCAAGTCACTTATCTGCAAGAGGAAATCGATGGCAATTGTTGTTTTTAAAATGAGTCAAAAATAGTGATTCCTTGTTGCAATATAAAATCCAATTCTTTGTGAGTCTATGATTGACTTGGATAAAAACTGAAAGTGATTTTTAAAGCTAAGGTATTCAAGTATTGATCAATCGATCAGAGGAAGAATTGTTTCGGTTTTCTGATTCCAGTTGCATTACTTTACGGTGCATCATTGCTAGCTATTTACCTCACATGCTTCATTTTTACTAGAACATTTTTAATGTATCCACTTATGAGTTCATTTGATTCATTTTTATACTTTTGAAATTTATATGCAAAATTGATGAATTACTTTTGCGCTCACCTGGTACCTTTAAGTAATCCTCTTCATAGTATATTTTAGCATAATGTTTGCTCTTTTCTGGACATTTAACTGGGAAATCAATTCCGGGAGTAACCTGATTATATTCTTCAATGTCCTCATCGAAACTTGCCGGGAGTATCTGGACGAAAAATTATTTTGATGTCATTAAATTTATGTCTGTTATTAGAATTGAAAAGACCCTTCTGTAAAAGTGTGATAGTAAGGTATTTCGTCTTAACAAAAACCATCGTCATCGGTGCAAAAAAAAAACAAACTATAATGTAACTTTACGTCTTTTACCGACACATAAAATGAGCTAAACTTTTTGAAAGTTACTTTTTCAGGCAATAAGAATATTTTTTATGGAAATTTCAAGATCCGATTTTGCGACCCAATTTGAAAAAAATCACGCCCCTGAAAATTTTACCTTGTAAAGTCCTTTTTCAATTGGTGGGCGCTCACAGATATTCTTTATTCACATGATATTCTAAACTCAAATAGTCAAATTTTAATGCGCAAATTGTAAAAAACCACTCAACTGTAACTAACCTCAGTTATATATAAGCTAAGAGCACTGAAAGTCACTAACTCTAACATCAAACTCATGATAACCCGTTCTTTGGAATTTCAAGTGAACTCCGAGCAATTTATCGGGCCCATACTGAAAGAATGCTGTACAAATAATCATTTTAAGATGCCATGATAACCCGAGCAAGTGTTGTTTACGTTCTAATATTGGTGAGTTTCTTGAGAATAATATGTCAGCGGTAACCCTTGCACCACACATCGATTGAAGTATGACTTCTGATGGAAATTTATATGAAAACCGTATACGAGAATTCTCCCTCTAAAATTCTCTTCTCTTCTCTGAAATCTATCTAAAACCACAAAAATTCTGAATGACCCGGACGCTTCATTTTTTGGACGTTACAATGAAAAGTACGTAGACAGCAGTATTCAAGGGGAGGATTCTGATGCGATTGAGGATTCATATATGAGAAAATAGGAGCTGTTTGCTTAGTGTTACAAGGGCACATTTAAATAAAAGAAAAATAAACTGTGGGCTCAAAGAGTTTAATACGCATATAACATACATTAACTGATTTTCCCTTCTCATTGTAGAATGTCCAGACTTAGCAGGGCATATCCTCCGAAAGAGGAAAGAAAAGGGGGAAGGGGGAAGATGTCCATCCGAAAACTCTACCGCTGGCCCTGAATGGAAAACCAGACATGGAGCGAATTTAAACAATTTATTTTTGTATTTAAACAATTTATGTTTTCATCAAAATTTCAAGTAAAAACCATTTTCAGTTTTTCTTTCTTCATTGTCATTTTTCATGTTTAGGGTGCTCACTTCTCATACTTGACCCTACGTTTTGTATATCCGCACTCAAGAAACTTGGTGGAGAGTGCTGGGCGCTGTTCTTTTAAGGTAACAGGTCCTCCAGATACCAGATGCTTCTGGATTAGTGTGCACCCAAAGAGGTAACGTAGGACCACACCACAGCCTGCAGTAATGCATGTCTGCAGTACATCGATGTCATCATGAAGATGCGAAAGGGTAACGTAGGATCGAGCTCCAGCGGTTTTGCGTTATCGAACGCAGTACCACAATGGACCACTAGACAAGGTACGAATTTAAGCATTCTAATACATGTTTCCGAGCCAGAATTTCACGCGAAACACAATTTGCGCAACGAAAATTACTGAAATTAACTCCTAACGAAGATATTAACGTTTTTATTTCATATTGGTTACGAGGAATTTGAATTGCCCGCTCACAAGAAACTCAAAGCTCTACGTGAGACCAATCGCGCACCACAACGGTTTCAGCGAGCCTCTCAATCGAGCAAACGTTCATTTCCCACCATGTGTTGTTCAAACTATAAGCAATTTGCTATAACTGAGCCAAAGCGTCAAGATTGAGGTTGCCAGATTTTTATATCGCAGAGACTGTCATGATGACGTTCAGCGCGCGATGTGAATCACGTATAGCATTGAGTTTTCATGAGCGGGTGGTTTGAATTCACGCATCAAGAATCATTTAATTTCTTCGTAAGGAGTTGATTTCGGTAGTTTTTGTTGTGCGCATCGTGTTCTACGTGAAATTTCGGTTAGAAACCTGTACCAGAATGCTAAAATTCGTACCTTGTCTAGTGGTCCATTGTGCGGTCCTACGTTACCACGTTACCACGTCTTCGGATCATCATTTGAGCACCCATCCAGAGCAACCTGGTACCCGAAGGACATTTGACCAAAAGGTACTGCACCCAGCAGAGTCCGACAAGTTCCTTTTCTCGCTGACATACCAGCACATACAGGGTGTTTCAGATCATCCGTGCCTGGCTTTTTTCTTGGATATTTTAGGTCGTAGGAAGTCAGGGACCGCGGGATTGAATAAGGTATCGATCCAAAGGAATTCAAATTTCTCAGTTCTAAACTCACTCGGCCCCCCTCTGAAAGTAAAAGGGAGGTCATTAATTCAAAATTTCGACCTCAAGATAAATGCACCTTGCATGTTATATTCTGATGAGGCGTATAAAGTGGGCTAATAATTTATTGAAGGTGAATGAGAAACTACCACCGTGGTTTTACGATAGTATTTTATGTTGTCTTTTTGTCGATTTGTACACTCATTTACAAACTCATGTAAAATAATATCGAAAAACATTATATTTACACAATTAAATATATAAATCATTAAGTAGTCATACATACAAATCAGACAGTACTAACTTTTATTAAAACTTGTTTCAGGAAACTTGTGCTCACAAACGGAGCCCAGCTTATCTTTAAAGTTTTGGACTAAGTATAACTAGTCACAGGGAAATCCGGAACCGGACCTTATGAAGCGTTTATTGCGCGTTCCATTAATTTTCTTTTGCACGCTCATTGGACGATATTCACAATTCACATGGAGCTATTCGGTAATTTATATTAGCATTTTAAGCCGAATTCACACAGTTAAAAAGTTCATCTACTTTTTCCTCTGACTCTATTAAGTGGAAATCTTTCCTAATTGAATGACACGGTAAACATTTGCAAAAGTTTGAAGCAATGAATAGTGAAAAGTTGAACCGTGTGAATTGGGCTTAGGAGTGCGCACGGAGAGTCTGAAAATAGTCCCCGAACTTTTGATTAGAAACGGGGTGAGACTGATTGCACGATTTACATCATAGCAAGAACCAATCGGACCATTCGCTCGTCTTAAATAGGAGCTTTTTTCCGTCATAGACAGCAGCAACCTGGAACCTGGAACAATCAATGAAGAATGTCGGTTTCTGTTTGGCACGTTATCGAGTCCTAATTATTTTATGTCAATCCATTCAGAGCTTTTGCTGAGCACAGATATCTCGTCTGGCGCATCATAAACAGCTGCGACTCTGAACCTGGGAACATAACAACGCTCACTGTAGGACAAAAGATTTACTCTGGAGTTGAAAGCCGTATAATTTCTAACTCAACATCACCTACTTGCGACACTAAGGAAAACTTAAGTGAAAAAATCAGTCTGTAAGGAGCAATTTGGCACATTTGAGCGTTCAATTGGAATAGGTGTATATTTTTATTCCAAGTACATGTGGACGAAAAAACAATGTGCCGCACATAGAGAAATATCAAATTGCAATCATTTTATAATCTTCCTTCAAACAGTAGCTTTTCAGCATTTCCAGTGCCTCTGATTCGTTTATTTTTTAAGTCCTTTTCAATAAATATTTTATACTGAGGAATCTGAAACACCATAAAAGAATAAAGGGGCCTTGGAGGACAAGGCGCATAAGTGCAGTTTTTGCTATTTTGAGAAATACGTGTTGGAAGTTTCGAAATTACACGAACCTTTATGGCGGAAATTAGGTTCAAACTGACGTTTTGATGCTTAAAAATAGGCATTTGGAAGCAATTTCACAGAATATGCATTAAGACTAGTTTTACTTGAAATTGTTAATATTTCCATTTTTTCAAAAACTTTCCTTATGCCTTGTCCTGCAAGCCCCTGTTTTCATTTAAGCCGTGAGAAATATTCCGAAATTCCAAGAGTGAAAGTGTTGTAACGTTTAAGTGAACAGTTGAATTGAATCGGGACGTGCGAAAATCGCCAATGTCCACTTTTCTAGTCTTAGGTTTTTCTGAGTTCATAATAGTTTTCGGAGTTGGTTGCAACCACGAAAGTGGAGTTAAAACTTGTCTTCGGGTTTCCTTAATCCCAAAACGAGTCCTTTCGTCACTTATATGGTTGTATCAACTCTTTGAAATTATTCTAAACTCAAAGGGACTTAAGACTGAGGAATTGGACTTTAGCGGTTTTCGCACGTCCCGAACTCCCGACTTAATTAATCTGTAAACATTATGTCTATTGGAATCAACAGCCATGTTTTAAAAAATTGTGAATGGTAAATGTATTTCCTCAATTTTAGTGCATCAAACTTGTAGAGAAATGTTCTTTATACTGACTGATATGAGTGTCCTGGCATGAGACGGTCGAAGTTATGCCAATACAAGGTGGTTAGCACGTTTTCTACATCGTGGCATTCATTTCCCCCGCCGAGGACCATATTGAGGCGGTTTTTTTCGACATACTGGATCATAAAGTACTTGACTGGGTGATCCTTCATTATGTTGATTGACCATTTTACTTGCACCTCCGTATCACTCACCTTCATCACTGTTGGTTTCGAAGGCGGGTAAAGAGCTGAGAGAGAAAAACAAAAATACACTTTACAACTTTGTCCATAGTGGGTGCTGTGGGCTGATTATTGAAATTGATAGACGAAACGATGGACATAAAAGATAGAGGGAAAATGGGGCAATCCTATTAGTTGTAGCAGGAGGGCTGCAATAGACAAAAGAGGTAGGTAATAGACTAATGAACGGCAACCCGTAAGAGATCCTACAGTTCGTCCATAATTTCCCCCCTTAGTCTATCAGAACCACCCGTTTCAGCGGATAGAATCCCACCGTATAGCTTTTTTCTTCTTTTTCTAAGGCGTTGTCCATCAATTTCAACAATCACCTGGCTGTATCACAGGCATTTAATTCAGATCAAAATGTAAAAAAATGGTATACACAATCCTCATAAGAAACCTTTTCCTTCGCACAGAAAGCATACCTAAAGTTTTGATCCAAGGTATGCATTACACTAATTCTTTCAAGCGCCCCTCATAATTTTTATCGGTATAATAATATTGCTGGCGGTTTTTATAAAGGTTTTCCGCCTAAATGAGCGACAGTATACTTCATGAGTGTTCGAAAAGTGGAGGCTTCCGCACGACAGTTCATGATACAAATATTTTAACTCTGACGTGAGCAATGAAGTATCGAGTGAAACTGAAGGCGTTTCCGACTGGTGACAAAAGTTTGACTTGGCTCACCACAACGCCTGCCGCATAAAGGAATAAAATAACCCCGCATTTCTCGCTATTTCTTTGAAGACGAGTCAGGATCAGAATGAGGATGCTTACTTTTTCGGAGCTCAGTCCGGTTTTTGTATTCCTCAAGTTCGTCAGGCTTTGCACCGGGTGGATTATCCGGATTCTCAGCTAAGTCTGAAAAAAAAAGAGGTTAATGGACCTTTCTTACCGCAATTAAGAATTTGCAGGTGTCTGAAATTTGAGGAATTTCATGTTGAAGGAAAAGTTTAGTACTGAGTAAACTGAACACGAGGATACAATTGGCTCATTGATCGAGCAATTGTTGAAGAAGATGTGACGAAAATATCTAATTTGCTAAAATTCATGCGATTTAATGGGAAATGCTGCCTGCAGATGACGTCACAAGGCGGTGCATTTTCTCACTTTTAAATGAACTTTTAGACTATTTCCCATTACAGAAAAAAATTATAAAAAATACTGCGACATCAGCTCTTCAGGCACTCTCAGATGAAGCAACACAAAATTTGAGTGCAAATTCTCCATTTCGCAAATGAAACAAAGCTTCAACTACATATTTACACATCTTTGTATAGGAGAGGTGAGACAATTTGAGCCCTCAGTTTGGGAAAGACCCGCGGGTTGGTTGGTTTACGGGAGCCAGGTGCGTATGGCTGGAGCAAAGCGCAAAGTATCGGCTTTCGAGCTGTGCGCGGTTCATTGCACGTGTAATAGGGAGGTAACTCAACACTGGAAGTGAACGCAGACTACATGACCCGGGCACCACGGCTCCGGCTTGAGATCTCAAAGCGATGCTCCCCTCTCACCAGAGTTGCTAAGTCGATTTTCAGCTGACTTACGAAAATCATTGGCAAGCATTCATAGACAAACCAATGCATAGCTAATCAATAATAAAGGATGCAAAATGCAAATAAAAAGCTGAGTTGAAGACAATTGAGAATTTGCACGAAAAAAATTGTATTGTTTCATTTGAGAGTACTTAATGAGCTAAGTTCGCAGTATTTTTCATAACTTTTTCTCTGATATGGGAAATCGTAGAAAAATAGATTTAAATGTGAGACAGTTTTCCGCCTTGTGAGGTCATCTGGCAGCATTTCTCATCTAAACATATGTATTTTAGCATATTTTGATATTTCGTCATAATTCCTCAAATAATTGTTCACTTTAATGACAGAGGATATTCTCGTACTCTCGTGCTCAATTCTCTTAGAAGTTTCATCTTAAGCATAAAATTCGCCGAATTTCAGACACCTGCAAATTCTCCATTTACTTCAAATTGATCTTTGCAGAGCGCGGAAAAGTGAGTTCCCTTCACTAAAAACCCGTTTTAGTGAGAATTCCACCTCCCTTGACTAAACAGGTGAGTAAATTTTAGGCTTTAAGTTTACTTACGGTTTTCGAAAATCACGATCCCTACCCAAGAAGGGATGACTTTCCAAAAAACTAGTTATAACGCTATCACAGCCACCCGCATGCGTGTCGGTATAAAACTGATTTTTTTCACGTAAAGCGGCGTTGAGTATGTAAGTACTCAGAAAAATGGGCTAGGGGCCATCGACCAAATATACTAAGAAATTTAATCACGGCCTTAGGAATTACGAGATGATTATCGAAATTGGTAGACAAAGTTATAGGCTGATAGTACAGAGAGAAAATTGAGCATTCCTATTAGTGGCATCGGATGGTTGTGATAAGCAAAGGATGTAGGTAATAGACTAACCAACAGCAACCTGCGAGAGACCCTTGTCCATCTGCCCTACCCTTAGTCTGTAACAATCACCCGTTTCAACCAACAGGGTCGCTCCATTTTCGTTTTGTCTTCCTCGTCTATAGTTTTGTTTATCAATGTTAAAAATCAGCTTGAGGTATTGAAAATTCCATCTCAGAATATGATCCTTGTGCATTGAATAGGGCACGGAAAAGCAGAGGTAGGAGTTAAGTCCCAGCTTGTACATTTCCAATCAATTGTGGTAGTACCCCAATAAATAAGGTTACCAGCCCAAAATGTTGGAGTTCTTTTGCCAACGTGCGTTAAAAAATTCAGCATAAAGCTGAAAAACTCAATACAGAGGTGCTCGAATGAGCTTTTCCCTCTGTATTGAGTTTTTCAGCTTTATGCTGTATTTTGTAACGCACGTTGGCAAAAAAAACTCCAACATTCTGTCGTTGAGTGCGTCTACCGCAATCAGTTTGTTACCAGCCCAACTTTAATTACGGTGCTACCAAAATGTATTGAAAATATCTGTACCATCAACGAATTGGGGCAGTGCCACAATTTTAGGGGATAACCGCTGATACCTTTTTTCCGTGGGCCCTCAAAACGCATGCTTTTAGACACCTTCCCGGAGGAAGAGGATTGCATTCCTATTTTCTCCTTAAAGGTGTGGAGACACATGCACTTTAAGAGGTGGGAATTCGCATTTTCCGTGGATTCCTTAGTGGATACTCCGTCATATTGTACCCCCGGTACATTTCGCATCTCTCATCGATAGAAACAGTTGGGACGTGGCAGCACCGCTCTCGCCCGAATAGCGTCGGTGAACGAGGAAGAGGAAGAGAAGGCGCCAGGGACATGCTCCCCGCTCGTGGCTACGCGGTCTTCTTCCGAAACATTTTCATTCCGCTCCCGATTTTCGAATCCCTGTCGAACAAGGCTTTTTTTGTGCTCCCTGCCGGCGAAGTGGGGTAGGCAAACCAATAAACGCCATTGTTCCGCGGTCGTGTTAATCAGAGTGAACGTATGTATTCTGTTTCCGATGTTTAGAGCTTGCGCTATTGTGAATCTAGGTTTCCATGCAACATCCTTTTCTAGTGTCTAGGATAGTTCCTTTTCCGGAGGCATGAGCGATTCGACCCGTTTCACTCATCGAATTTGTCGATCCGCACAGTGCGAACTGTTCCATAGCACGACTAAACGCAAAAATTTACAACTAAGAAAAATTGGACTGAGTTAAGCAGAAAGGAACCAACCCACATGTTGGAAAAAATTGAGTTATGAGTTGTTTTGAACTCAACCACTGCTCTGCTATCTATCGCCAAAAATTCAAAGTTTTTGTTGGATCAAATTTTGCAGAAATCGAACTTGAAGTTTATCTTTTACATTGAGTCTTATGCAGGAGCCAAACTTTAAACCTCATTTTCTCGGTTCGATCCCGATGTGGATTGGTTCCTTTCTGTTTAACTCCGTCCAATTACGGTCTACCCTCGAACACTTTTCCTCTTCACATCAGTGGATTTTCGTCGAATTACACGATGACCATTTCGGAGCCGGGCTCCGTCTTCAGGTGTATAACACACTCGCAAAAAGTTTCGTTTAAAATTATTTATCCATCCTGTCAGGATCTTAAGAATAAGAGTTCATTCTTTCCTTTTATACTACTAATACGCAATACTATTTTCTTCAAAGATATGTAGAAAAACATGCTCTTTAAGACGTGGGGATTTCCATTCCTCAGTGATTCTATAATGGTTGCTTCCTGATATTTTACTCTCGGTACACTTCATTACGTTCGTATTATTACGTTGTCTTGCGTAAAATCTGACGCAAGTATATTCATTATAGGTAAAGGTGAAGATAGGTACAATAGGTATTAAGTGCACGAATTGTTGGGTAATTTGAACTCGACGCTCGAGGAAACTAAAAATATACCTACGGCGTGGGTGTGCTATTTTGCATAGTTGCGCAAATGAAGTCGCTTTATCTCTGGGTGCTCTTCGCGGCGAGGGATATTTGGACTGTATTTTGCAATTTGGAACTATAAAGTCTATCTCTTCTGGAAAAATACTTATAAGCATTGGGAAACTAATGGTACATACGTTGTTTTTAAACCGGCCTAGAATTTATAATTCCAAATTGCAAAATGTAGTCCATTTAAGTTTGTGCATAATGATTTTTCCCCCTTTACTTAAGATATGTAAAATGAATGATCCGAAGCAGTCTCTTGGACCTCTTTAGTCTCCTTTCAAAGAGCCTCCCCAAATTTCGCCCCTTTTTCGGTATTCGATTCGACGATCGAACCAAGGTTTAAGTGGAAGCTTATAATAACCGAAAACTTAGGTAAAAATTTCAAGACATGAACCGCTTTCGAGTTTAAGGGTGGGGGGTGGGGCAAGGGGGTAAAACTCCGGCCTTAATTTTCGCTATTTTCTTGTTGAATTGATATGTCTACGGGGTTGTTATCGTTGTTTACAAATGTTATACACACCGGTTCCTGCGTATTTTTACACGCAAAATCGAGTTTTAATGTTGACGAGTCGATATATCGATCGATTATATCGAATTCTAAAGATTCTTTACGGAAAACCAACGATTTTTTGAGATTGAAATTGTTCAATTTTGATTCATAGATGACTAAATGCACTTATTATGACTGTAGTACATCAACACCTACGTATTTTTTCTTGTAGAATCGATTTTTAACGTTAACGAGTCGATATATCAATCGCTTTTATCGAATTTCTGCGATTTCTTAGGAAAATCAATGTTATATTGGTATTGAGATTGGTTATTCTCCATCCGAGAACAACGAAATTTTGAGTTTGAATACATTTCCGGTCGGATCGATTTCCAGTTGAGTCAATTTTCGGTTGGGGCACATTTCCGGTCGAGTAGAAATTAAGATTTTCGATTTCCGGTCAAGTGAAATTTCGGGTGGATAACGAATCCCGTTGATTGTGGTTTCCGGTCGGTCAGATTTCCGATCGAATCAAATTTTCAGTCGAATTAAATTTTCGACAGGGACACGTTAAGCTCGTTAGCAAGATTTTTGGCACTAAGAATCGACACTTCATCAGGAGATACGCATTTTTGCGATTAGTGTTTTAAACTTGTTGCTGAATTTGGATCATTTAAGACGGAAAAAAGGGTTTCACCCTTAAAATTCCTTATCAAATAAGATTTAGTTGATCATCTATGCTCCATCCACCCATGCTTTACGCTTTCCTAATGGACCGGTGGACAAAGTACCTTTTCTTCAATTTTGATCATTCACAGTTATTCAAACAAAGCTCATTTCATCGGTGTGAAACCTTTTAAATTCACAACCGCTTTTGAGTAAGTTGCGATCTTGTAAGCGGCGACTCTTTGAGTTTCGCCTCAGAATACGATGACCGAACCAAGGGACTTAAAATACACAATCTGATCCAGCCGCCTGAGCCGTACGATCGATTCTCTCTTCTTTGAAATAAGACGTAGAGACCAAAAACAATCTAATTATTTTTTCAAAATAATATTCCACGGCATTTTCCGAATTGAGGCTCGATTTCAAGTCCCAAATTACGACTTTTTCGGTCAACATTAATCTACAAGGCCACTCATGATGGATACAAAGGAGCGCCTTCAAATCATTCCATAAACTTAATGCAACATTCTGATACCACAATTCGTGCGTCACGGCAGTCATTTTGCATACCCGGCCATTTGAAGGCGAATCATTGACTTCCGCAAACGGGGTACGAATAACAGCAATGTCATTCAATATTCTTAGAGCATCAAAGTGGCCAGACCCGGGGGTCAGCCCCCTCGCCCCTAAGGAGCCGAACCTGGGGGTCAGCCCCCTGAACAGTAAGGAGCTAAACCCGGGGGTCAGTCCCCTGAATCCTAGAGAGCCAAACCTGGGGGTCAGCCCCCTGAACCCTAAGGAGCTAAACCCGGGGGTCAGCCCCTGAACCCTAGAGAGCCAAACCTGGGGGTCAGCCCCCTGAACAGTAAGGAGCTAAACCCGGGGGTCAGTCCCCTGAATCCTAGAGAGCCAAACCTGGGGGTCAGCCCCCTGAACCGTAAGGAGCTAAACCCGGGGGTCAGCCCCCCGAGGCCCTAAGGAGCCAAACCCGGGGGTCAGCCCCCGAACCCTAAGGAGCGAAACCTGGGGGTAAGCCCCTGAACCCTAAGGAGCCAAACCCGGGGGTCAGCCCCCTGAACCTTAAGGAGTTAAACCCGGGGGTCACTCCCTGAACCCTAAGGAGCCAAACCAGGGGGTTAGCCCCTGAACACTAAGGAGCCAAACCTGGGGGTCAGCCCCTGAACCCTAAGGAGCTAAACCCGGGGGTCAGCCCCTGAACCCTAGAGAGCCAAACCCGGGGGTGAGCCCCCTGAACCCTAAGGAGCCAAACCCGGGGGCAGCCCCCTGAACCCTAAGGAGCGAAACCTGGGGGTCAGCCCCCTGAACCCTAGAGAGCCAAACCCGGGGGTCAGCCCCCTGAACCCTAAGGAGCCAAACCCGGGGGTCAGCCCCTGAACACTAAGGAGCCAAACCCGGGGGTCAGCCCCCTGAACCCTAAAGAGCGAAACCTGGGGGTCAGCCCCCTGAACCCTAAGGAGCCAAACCCGGGGGTCAGCCCCCTGAACCCTAAGGAGCGAAACCTGGGGGTCAGCCCCCTGAACCCTAAGGAGCGAATCCTGGGGGTCAGCCCCCTGAACCCTAGAGAGCCAAACCCGGGGGTCAGCCCCCCGAAGCCCTAAGGAGCCAAACCCGGGGGTCAGCCCCCTGAACCCTAAGGAGCGAAACCTGGGGGTCAGCCCCCTGAACCCTAGAGAGCCAAACCCGGAGGTCAGCCCCCTGAACCCTAAGGAGCCAAACCCGGGGGTCAGCCCCCGAAACTCTAAGGAGCCAAACCCGGGGGTCAGCCCCCTGAACCCTAAGGAGCGAAACCTGGGGGTCAGCCCCCTGAACCCTAAGGAGCCAAACCCGGGGGTCAGCCCCCTGAACCCTAAGGAGCGAAACCTGGGGGTCAGCCCTCTGAACCCTAAGGAGCGAAACCCGGGGGTCAGCCCCCTGAACCCTAGAGAGCCTTAATCCGGGGGTCAGCCCCCTGAACCCTAAGGAGCCAAACCCGGGGGTCAGCCCCCTGGCCCCTAAGGAGCCAAGGCCGGGGATTAGCCCCTTGGACCCCAAGGACCCAAAGCCGGAGGTCAGTACCCATGCACCTAAGGAGCCAAAATCGGGGGCCGCCCCCGTGGCCCCAGTGAAGCCAAAACCGGGGGCCGCCCACCTGGCACCTGGAAATCTGATAGACCGGAATCCACAATCAACGGGAATCGTTATCCGCCCAAAATATTACATGACCGGAAATCGAAAATTTTAATTTCCTCTTTCTCGGAATTCTGCTCAAATCGAAAACTTGACTCAACTGAAAGTTGAACCGACCGGGAATGTGTTCAAATCCAAATGTTTGTTGTTCTCGGATGGAGAATATAACCAATTTCAATACGAATGTATCATTGAGTTTCCTAAAAAATCGCAGAAATTCGATTAAAGCGATTGATATATCGACTCGTTAACGTTAAAAATCGATTCTACAAGAAAAAATACGTAGGTATCGATGTACTACAGTCATAATAAGTGCATTTAGTCATCCATGAATCAAAAATGAACAATTTCAATCTCAAAAAATCGTTGGTTTTCCGTAAAGAATCTTTAGAATTCGATATAATCGATCGATATATCGACTCGTTGACACATCAATTCAACAAGAAAATAGCGAAAATTAAGGCCGGAGTTTTACCCCCTTGCCCCACCCCCCACCCCACCCCTAAACTCGAAAGTGGTTCATGTCTTGAAATTTTTACATGAGTTTTCGGTTATTATAAGCTTCCACTTAAATCTTGGTTCAATGGTCAAATCGAATACCGAAAAAGGGGCAAAAGTCAGCCCTTATTTTGGGAGGCTCTTTCATTGCTTTTTCGTCGAAAATAAGTGACGCAGAAACGGATCGCCGAATACTCCCAGTAATATTTCATTGAGACGTACATGTGCTGTTCTTCGGCACAGTGGCCTAGAAGTAAAAACAAATGCGACAAAAATGTACTCAAAAACGGTTTGCAGGGGGTGAGTCTATAGTGCGCGTGGACTTAAAATCGCAGAAAATCGAAATCTTGGCTGATCCTAATTTCTAGATACCGCAATTTGAAATTTGCATAGTGACTGCAAGTTTTCTACAGATTTTGATTAGCTTTTTTTATTTATTTGTCCACGGAATGCGTGTTGATCGGTTCACGTTTTTATTCTTCGTTCGATTCATTTTGGTCGAACACACACCCTTTCGTTACATACAGACTTCCTATCATTCTCTTTTTTTCAATCGAAGAATTCGCCTTCTGCCGCGTCTGCAGCAATTGTTGTTACGAATATGTTGTGCGTGCTGATTATAGCTATAAATACATACCAGACTCTCTGAAGGCGTTTTTTGCAGCGTCAGTAGCGCAGTCCGTCGGAGAATGGACAAAGTAGGGATTCATTGATTCGTTCAATCTCACTTCTGTTGTTCTCCAACAGGGTGCTCTACTTTCGCACATTAAACGCCTTCGAAAAGTCAAGTATGTATTGATCTGAGATCAGCACGCACAACATATTCGTAACAACAATTGCTGCGTACGCAGCTGAAGGCGAATTGAAAACAACCGTATTTAACACATTGGAAACTTTGATCTCACGTTGATCTCTCTAATTAATATTGTTACCAATAGAGAGTTGTATTTTATGGTTTTATGATGGGGGATTTTGGAAGCAAATTTCAATATAAACCAAAACATGAGATATGATTGATGGTGCGCAGCCTGTGACAAGTAATACAACAATAAAACAAATTACACATGGGGTAAGAAGGCTGATTTTCACGTAAATATCACCGAAACGTTTCGACTAAAACGTCAGCCTTCCTCAGTTGGATAAAACAATAAAAAATTGTAAAAATCTAAATAAGTCGTACTTGGCTGTACCTTTCAAATCGAGAACAATACTGTTATGCGATTTTTTCCGGGGAACAACAGAAGTGAGATTGAATGAATCAATGAATCCCTACTTTGTCCATTCTCCGACGGACTGCGCTACTGGCGCTGCAAAAAACGCCTTCAGAGAGTCTGGTATGTATTTATAGCTATAATCAGCACGCACAACATATTCGTAACAACAATTGCCAGAAGGCGAATTCTTCGGTTGAAAAAACGAGAATGATAGGAAGTCTGCATGTAACGGAAGGGTGTGTGTTCGATCGAAATGAATCGAACGAGGAATAAAAACGTGAACTGATCAACACACATTCCATGGACAAATAAATAAAAAAAGCTAATCAAAATCAGTAGAAAACTTGCAGTCACTATGAAAATTTCAAATTGCGGTATCTAGAAATTAGGATCAGCCAAGATTTCGATTTTCTGCGATTTTAAGTCCACGCGCACTATAGACTCACCCCCTGCAAACCGTTTTTGGATACATTTTTGTCGCATTTTTTTTTTTGCTTCAACGCCACTGTATCTTATTGGCGATTTAGATTACCAACCAAGAGTTGGAGTTAAAGTGATACTTAATACGGAGATTCATCCAAGCTTTGTTGCGTAGGGCACGTGCCGTCCTCAACTTGAAGCTTTACATTTGGCCTCACGCGTTTTTAGTGCAACACTGTCATTTTAGTGATTTCCACAGAGATAATTTCACTCCGTCCAGCTTTAAAGCTCAGCCATTATTAATTTTATTTTTTCGAATCGTGAACCGAACAGCGAACAAGCTCCAGATCAAAATTTTTCTTACAAGTTTTCAACTTGTTCTACGTGAAATCTCTTTAATCAGATTTTTAAATTAGGTTGGTATATAGTGATATATTGATTTTTTGACAGTCTCTACTTTAAAGAGAGGGGTCCCGATCCGGTCCTCTCTGAATTTTTTACGAGCTAGTCATATACCCATAGGATGAGATAATATGGATTCGAAGAAAATACTAGTGAATAGAATATAATTAAAACGACTGCCCTCAGAAAAAATCAAGGAAACAGAAGAAATCTAAAATGTAAGAAATAACAGAAAAAAATCTGCCTGTTGTTGTTGGAGGTTTTGTTGTCGTTGTTGATGGCAAAGCTGTTGTTGTTTCATCCTCAGTTAGGTATTTTTTTCGCCTTTTCTTCTTCTGTTGCCTGCGTTTGGCCTTGGCAGCTGCAATTAGAGAATTTTTAGGAATTAAAGAAGTATATGCCCACACCTTATTTTTATAAGTTTAGTCATTATTAGTTGTGATTAGTGATGGACAAAATAATGTATGTTTTCTTTGGAACGAACTTAACCTCAAGAAAAGGTCTCAAAGTTGACAGAGGCGGATTGAGAGTGCGGCGCATAAAGAGCCGCATGCACCAGGCGCCATGACATAAAGAGCGTTAAAATAAGAGGAAAGAAAATGGATGAGGAAAAAGGAGAGAGAAGAATCAGAATGAAGAGGGGCGATAAAAGTGGATTGGCGTTCTTTGCGATATATCGATTGATCTGCCATTTAAACCTATGGAAACTGATCAATTTACTTAATAATCGATTCTTTACCACAGCTTCATGTGGAGAAATACCGATAATCGATCATTCACTCCTCGCCATTGGACGATTCGCACAAAATCTATACAGGCGAGCACTAATAGCAGGCTATTCGATAATATATTCGCCCTGCACTTGCTGCATGGTTTGATGAAACCAATGAACGATGCGTGATTTGTTAAAAGATATCGTCGACATGATATTCGCTCTAAATTTCAGCGAATAGGCAAAAAACATACCAGGGTGCACAAATAGTTATCTACATTTTTATCCATATAAGCTTTGATTGAACTGATACACTTATGATTTTTTTAACCTATTGGTAGGTCTTATCGATCTGAAGTTCGCCTTCAATATTGCCGCATAGGCATCAAACGTACCGGGAAGTGCGAATGGTTAGTTTTCCAAAAATTACATATTTATCTCGCTCTAAAAACTTTGTCAGCAGTTTTTTAATTTATTCATTTTTTATTTCGCAGCATTTATTTCCTATCCAATTACAGGGTGGAATACAACGTCAGCAGTGACCGAAAATTGTGAGGTCCTGTTCGGTCGAACTGAGGTTTCCGAGGCTGTTTGAGGTAGCGCGTGACACATCATAAGCTTTTTAAAGGTTGATACTTCTCATAATTTGGATGAGCTGATGCATATTATAATGAGACGACCTTAAGCTATATGTAATTATATTTTTTTCAAGTTCGCTGAGAATTACCTGCTCCTACTATCGGAAATCGTCGGAAGGAGGGAACATCAATGATTTCCTGGTGAGAGTATGAAGATTTTTCTTGAACTTTCACATGAATTCTCACTTGTTTGTAATCTTTGTCCCCTGGCACAGCGCAAACGTACATCTTTGAATCATTTTCATTGACGTTTGCAAGCACTATGGATCCCGTATCTGAGACCATGTCTTCATCAGTTAACTCTAGAATTGCATGAAAGAGAAGAAGGAAAATTAGATACTTACACCCTGGGATTGATCAAGAAACATGCATGATGCACGTTGTCATTTTAAGTTAAGAGTTTTCAAATTTTCAATAAAAACTTCAGCAATATACAAAAACGGTTAACACCAAAAAAGAGAGAAACAATTATCAGTAAAACGCTTCATTAAAAAAAGTTAGTGTTGCTTACTTATAGTATAGTATACCAGGTAAGCCTAATTTATGCTGCATACCAAAAGAATTTATGTCATACACTAACTAGTTGATGATTCACTACGCCATCACCATAGCCACCATCTATTATCGATGTAGGGCACCAATTATGATGCAATTCGCTGCTTTAATGCACCTAATGGGTTGGCTGAGTGAAAGTGAGCTATACCGTTAGCGAAGAGCACCAATCTAGCTGCGGCAACTGCACTTTAAAGCACTTTGCAGCTTTCATGCACTTTTAAATAGACGCCTTTCCACTGTAAAATAATTAGGTCCATTTTTAACGTAAGTATCGTTCTCCACCCTAAAAAATCATTCAAATCGAGACCAAAAAATGGAGTTCGTACCTGGAGTAACTTCAGCTTCGTCCACAGCGTAAATTTGTGGTGTCGCGGCGTCATAATTGGGGCAATGAAACGTTACAGTTGCTCCTGGGACAGTATTGAAATACTCGTCTTTAATCACTTTTCCCCCCTGCAATCATGTCCGATATATACCTAGTAAAAAATTGTGAATCCATTTTTTGAGAGAAATTTAGAGACCGTATCCAAAATGTTCTGTATTTTGTCAATACAGCAGCAATACAATTATATTTTGTTAATACAGTTTTTAGCTTGAGTAAATTACTGTACACATATTGTTATCCTGGCGCAATAGCTGCACAGACAGTATTTGGCAACTTTAAATGGTATTTATTACAACATTAGAAACTGTTTCCATCACTCTAAATTAATCTGTCGTGTCAAGTGTTGAGAACTAAACTTAAGCTGCAAACAAAAAGTAAATAATAATCAAGACAAAATTAATAAAACTTAAATTTTGGAAGATTATTTTTAACTTGGAATGAGTTACGTCGAAATACGTACGACATACATAGAGTATAGATCGCTACCCGCCTTCAATGTGACGGATAGGCAAAACCACCTTCTTCGCGCCGGTGCAGAAAAAAGTTAGGCGAGTATGTATGTACTATGTACCTACAAGGAGCGAAAGTTTTTTTGCTATTCTGCCCATCTAAAGAAAAGCTCAGTGCGTATGGCAGGGGAAAAAATAAATCACTATCACAAGAAAAATTTTGTTAATCGTGAGAGAGTAAAATGGAAAATGCACCCTCAATAAAATTTCATTACCTAAAAATACGTTTCTTTGTCATGATTTCTAATGTTTTGATGTGACAAGGCAAACAAACTCCGACAACTTTACTTAGTGCAAGGTACATTTTCAGAGAGCATGTTTATAAAATAGTCTTCCCCTTAGAAAGGTATTACTCCTTTTATTTTTTTCTATGAATGTTCTGAGCTTATATCATTCTAGAGATGGGAGGATTCTCTGAGAATCTTTAAAAACTTTTTTCTTCATCACTACAAAAAATCATCAAAACAAAAAAAAAACTATTTTTGTCCTAATGAAATTGGATTACGGGAGTATATTCTGTGATTTTCCTTGTGATAACAAATCTATTATTTTTCTCCGTGAAGAAAAACGGCTCTCTGTGGATTTTAACTTTAGCGTTAGCTTGATTATATTGAGTCTTATGGGCTGATCACATGTTTATCCTCATTTTTGACACGTTACAAATTCAAGTTTTCTAATATTTTCACACGATTTTTTGTTCCAATCACGTAAACTAGGAATTAAAAATAAAAAGACTTGCAATGAAAGCCTTTTTCCCCCGACCTGGTCCATTGCGCTCTTCGTCAGTCAGCCAGTTGGTATATTATTTTCTGTTAGATTGTTTGATTAAATCTGTTTATTTTATAAAAAAATAGGTGGGACTTCATTGATCTATATGCGCAACTATAAGGTTGTTTCATGACTGATTTTTATCTTACTGTAGGTCTCTACGGGGGTTCTGGAGGACTTGAGATTAATGCAATGTATCGGCATTTCCACGGAGCTCAAGTTTGCATGTTAAGAAAATACGCCTGATCTTTTGAAAAATACAAATTTTTTTGTCTCTTTCATGAAACTTCTGAATTTTGATCATTCCGAGGATGAAAAAATCCTCTGAATCACCTCATCGTGCAAAATATATTTTCATAAAAATAAAATTAAACTACAAAGTACAAAAATAGTAATATTTATTTAATTGTTACAATTATATAAATAGGAAAATATCAATAGTTTATGTACTCACGACTGAAAAACAGATTGTGCCAAGAATGAAGAAAACCAGAAACCTTAAATTCATGCTGCTCCACACATTTGAAAGGCTCCAGTCTCAGACTACATCTCGTTGCCGTATTGTTTAGATCGAGTCTGATAACCATATTTATTTACTTTTTGCTTATCAAAACTAGATCTTTATCTATAATGAGTACAACACTTCACCTATCAAGCTACTTGAGCTCAGGGGCCGAATTTTGTCGGTTCTTCCAACGTATTTAAATACGTGTGTACTTAGGACGGGTCTCGACTGCACTTAAATTCGGATTAGCGCTTCTGATTGGCCGGTGGTGCGGTTTGAACTCATCGATGGATGTTGCACTCCATGTGAAAAACCCGACAAAATTCGGCCCCTGTTCGTAGTTTGAGTCTAATGTGTCATCGTTAAGTCATTGAAGATTTTGTCCGATATAATCTTACTATCTTAAAATCTATGTCTTCACTACTTAAAATCTGAACAACTCAAAAAGTAAAAGAAATAATGATGATGGGTCAAGAAACGTCAATTGAAGGTTATACATCATGAATTCTGTCCTCTCCAAAAATATTTTTCACTCGATATCTGAAAGTTTTTCCTTTTCTCATCCGCAGTTCTTCGTGAAATTAAAATCTAGAGGACCTAAGTCAGATTTTCATGGAGCTTTTTATGGCTGCAGAAATTAAATCCAGTAATCCAATTTTTTCTTCTTTTTCCTTTTCCACTAATTAAAGGAATCTTTGCATACATTTCGTCCATATGATTTTTTAAGTTTCCTCAATCCTGCCTTGTTAAGAAAAAACGCTGTATAACATTCGATTGTTGCCACATTTGTCCCGATAAAGCATTCATTTTTGTAGAATATCATGAGTATTTTCCCTTGAATTTTCAGATATTTTAGCTCAAACTTCAAAAAATATTCTTGCAAATATTGAAAGAAGAAAATGCGAAATTTTGCTTGAATATTCGCAATTTAGCGGGGGAAATTTGGCAACGTCTGGAGGCAGGGGAGGCGCACAATCCACCTGAACAAAAAAGAGGAAGAAAAAGGAAAGGAAGAAATCGGGAAGAAATGGAGGAAAAGACCTCTTATATTTAAACATAATTCTGCCAAACAGAACTATGTGCATTAAAACATTAGCTCTGAGATCCATAAGGACATATGCATAGTAGGGCTCAAGTCATAATTCACATAGTTCCTTTTGGCAGAAATACGTCCATTTAGTAATCCTTAGTGAAGACATTGGCTCGATCTGCGTATTAAATGCATTGAAATTTCGAAAATTATCCATAAGAAGCAAGAAAGCCTCCCCACCCCGAATCTCTATCCCCCGTTTGATATGTTTGGATCCGCCAATGACCTTAGGTTCATATGAAATTCTTCCATGGCACGACAGAATAGCAAATGAAGGCGTCAGCTCCAATGTTGCATTTTTACCCATCCTGAGGCTAGACCGTAAATGTATCTGTTGCCAGCATAGATCGTCGCGATTCTAAATCTATACGAAGGAAAGACATACAAAAAGTCACAAATTAGCACCTTTTGGGATTCAACATTGAACGCGGGTATGTCCATGCGTGTGCCAAAAATGAAATGATCCGATTCAAAAGAAAAAACAAACTAAAAATCCTGGAAAAATTCGTTTTTGAGCTCTAAAATGTTTCAGTGTGCGTTTTAATTTCCGAACCTCCAAGCTCAGCTGCTGCTGGCATCCCACATTGAAGCCCTGACTATTTATGATCAAATGTTTTAAAAAAAAACGACTGTTCGAAAACTAATCATTCACTTAAGCTGACTATTTATATTACTTAACCAAAGACCCTTGGCGATTTTGAAGGTTGGCAACACTGTTTTTCCTCCATTGAAATTCACAAAAAATATCGATTTAAGCTGAGCCAAGCTGCATCACCAGGAATCGATTGTTTTACATACAGTTAAATGGAGAAACACAGGATTGCCAACTTTCAAGAATCGCCACTGGCCAAGACGTGGATGACAGCTTCACATACACATCCTACAAATCACAGAACATACGACCCCTCTGTTAGATCATAATTTAGTAAAACTCTGCTCGTTTGCATGACTTCAAGATGAGTTCCGTTTGTAGATAAATGACTTGAAATGAATAAAATTTAAGATGGAAAAATAAATGAGCATCCATAACCTACAGTAATAATCCCCCTTCCATTTTTCCTCAATTTTCCCTCCCTCCAATTTTGTTGTCGTTGTTTTATACATTTATTCATGGGTGTTTCAACAAAGCTGTTGCCTTCCAAAGCAGTAAAGGAACTAACTCCTGAGCACACAGGGACTATTTACTGGAGTATCCATTGGAACGTCCCGTCATAATTTCCTCATCTGAATTTTTTCGAAACAACCGGAATTTTTGTTGACTTTTTTAAGGTTGAGCTGTCGTAATCAGAATCTACTTCGGAAAACAAGGGTCCCGGTTGTCTCAGAAAGAAATCCGACTCAGAGAATGTAAAGAGAATGATTCTTTTAGATACCCAGTGAAATGGGTCGCTAAACCTTGTGTTTTAATTTAATATGCTAGAAGTACCAGGCGTGTAGATTACGTGGTAATTTCATTATGTATTTTTAGAGCCCCGGACAAGCCTGCTTCTAAAAAGTTCAAAGACCGAGAGCAGGGCCCAATTAAGGAATCTGCGCCCCAGGCTAATGATTTTTTTGCCCCCCCCCCCCCGTGCTCTTTTTCTTTTTGCCTCTGGGCCCAGAGAAGGGGCGCGGGGCGCACAGACTTACTTATTCCACACATTTTTTCCGCGCCTGATGACGAGGATTTTCTTTTTTTTTTCTCCCTTCATAGTCTCGAAAAAATTAAAAATTTGGCACCTCCAAGAAGCTTTCGCCCCAGGCTTAAGCCTGGCCAGCCCGTGCGGTAATCGGGCCCTGCTACAACTCACAAGTCAAAATTCGTTCATAGTTTAGTGACCCATTGTTCTCGACGTGAGTAAAGAGATGAAGTTCATAGGTACTCCTTGTGAAGTGTGCAGAAACTTTCCAGATGTACATCTGATTTAAAAAAATAATGCCTGTATTAATGTCTTACCGATACATTTTTTCTGGTTCCAAATCATTCACTTTGAAAATTCTGAACCTCGGCTTTATTCGATTCGCAACGACGTGCCAACTGTGTTTTCCGCCGAAAACTTTGGTTTCATTACCCTTGAGGTATTCAATTTTGTAACCTTTAACTCCTTTGTCCCTTAACGAGCCTGATGTCCATTTAAGTTGCAAGCTAGTGTCACTCAGTTGCTCGATGTCCGGAGATGAAGGTGGCTCAAAAACTGAAACGCACCGAATGAAATAAATCGGTGAGACACAGATAGAAATATCCATGTAGATCAAAATAGAGATGTTCATTGAATGTTCCTTCATTGAAATTCTCTGTGGAACAGTCAGCATTTTCGTAGCGATGGTCAGAATTACTTTTGGATAACGATAGTTCCAAGTATCCTTGTATAAGAGATATTCATTGCCCATTACCCTTAAACAAAATGGATTTGATCAAGATGCACAATTGCACAAGCCTATCCCATATTCAGTAATAAATGTTACGGTGAAAGAAAAAATAACAATTAAATGTTACTTTTGTCAGAGGCTAAATCACTCAAAAGTGACTATGCGTATCAATGGTGAAATTACAGAAATACGAATCTCGGTTTACGGTGTTGCAGATTTTCTGTCATACTTTATTATCTACATGGAAAACTGCTATCATGGAAAAAAGAGGTCGGGGATAAATCCCAACCGTTGGATGATGCGGACATTTCAAATTAATTGTGATAGTGCCCCAATTAATTGTAATAGTGCCCCAATATATTAGGTTACTACCCCAACTTGAGTTGCAGTACTACCACAATTGGATTGCATTTTGCAAAAAGGAACCAGTAGCATTGCAATGTTGCTAAGATTGTGCAACTTCTTTTGTATTAGAGGAAAAACCCGATTATCCATTCATAGTTTCTATTTTACTCGCTAGAAACTGTAAATTTAAGACAAAAATTACCATCTAAATTTCATAGTTTTTCACGATTTCCGCAATTTTATTGCAAAAAATGAAGTTGCTTAATCTTAGCATCATTGCAATGCTAGTGGTTCCTTTTTGCAAAATGCAATCCAATTAATGGAAAATGTCCAAAATTGGAGTAGTGCTGCAACTCAAGTTGGGGATAATCCCTAACACTCTTTTCCCGTAAGATAAACGTCATTTCTTGCGGTGATTTTTCCTCTCTATATGGAAAATATTTTGTGAAAATTTGAAGCCATAATGTTGCTTCGGTCTCCTTTTAATAATTAAACTAGGGAAAGTGAAGATTTTTAACCACGCAATCGATATACGACTTTTTACAATTTTACCGTCGAAATACTACCCGCTCTACTAATAATTGTCTTGCATTGACTGTGGATGAAATCCTCGCCAAGAGTGACGTGAAAAGACACCCTAAATGAAAGAAATAAATTACCTCTAGTATTAAGATTGAATATCCTACCGTTAATGCCACCGGGATCGCCATCGTAGTTCTCATTGGCATCCAACTCTTCGTCCTGTTCGGCAATTGCTGCCTCATGATTATACTCCTCTTTTGCAACGTGCGTGTTGTTTTTGTCGGATAAAGCGGTTGTTGGGGGAACTTTTTCTTTATCTTTACAATCTGTTTTACCATGAGTACCATGATCGGTAGGAGCTTTGATTCCTTCCGCATGATCATGTGCATGAGAGTGTTTATGTTCTTGCGCATGAGAGTGCTCGTGTTCTTGCGCATGAGAGTGTTTATGTTCTTGTGCCTGAGGTTGTTCGTGTTCTTGAGCATGAGAGTGCTTGTGTTCTTGTGCCTGAGAGTGTTCGTGTTCTTGCGCATGAGAGTGTTTGTGGGGGTGCGCATGCTCCTGTCCGTGTGGATCGTGGTTTTTTCTCGCGTGATCTGCAAAAAAAAAAATACCAAAATCTTAGAGAAAATAAGAGAATGATAATTAAGAGTACTCTCAGAGATCGTAATTTACCAGGTGGGAAAGCTATCGCGATGCTGAACGAATTTTCTTGGCAGTGCCAGATTTTTTAAACTGGCGCGAGACAGATCTAGTCATCCCGTGAAGGGAGATTTGAGGAACACTCTGAGGGTAAACAGGGACTCAGCAGAGGGCCTAAATTTTAGAAATTTAAAGTCTCTTGTGTGGCAATTTCATTATATTCAGTACTCTTTGTCTCTTTGTTTACTAAAAATGAAATTGAAAATTGAAGGAAAAAAATCAATGCCTTTGATCAGAAGTGATTCTTACTATATTCTTATATTTTGGTGAACATATTTGATCAAATTTAGATTGAGTATCGCTTTAAAGTCTCTAAAATAACATTCTTTGGGTTTGCCACCAACGATTGCACCAACTTGTTCTACAAAGTACATCTATCAAAGGAAAAAAAGTAAAAGTCACCGAATCAACTTTACGATTTTGTAATTTATACGCAAGCGGATACTTTTCAAATTGCGATCTTGTTAGATTGAGTTTATGAATATTACCGGTAGATTTATAATATCACCACAAAAAAAAAACACATGGTACCAGAGAAGGTAACGAGTAAGGCATGACATCATGGACGATATCTACCAATGAATTCATAACGATATTTGTCGGTTCAATCGAAGATCACGGATTGGTATAATTAATTGTCTAATCTTCGGATAGCTAACTATTTGCGCTCCGCGGTATGTTTGTTGCATCTGCAGCAAAATTGAAGGCGAACTTCAGGTGGACAATTAGACATTGACAATATCTGTCAATAAGATTACGCACGGTCTATCTGTCCATTGGTTCCAACCAAGTTTGTAGAGTAAGGTTAATATGTGTTTTTCGAACAGATGCACATAGAATGTTCAAAAAGTTTTGCACACTTCCGGATTTTGAGCGAACGAAAGCAGCTATCGATTTGCAATTTATGTGTGCTTAAAGGAGACGTAATTACCAATAAAACAAGACCAAGAACAACTCTCTAGCTTAAAGGATGACAGAGATACAGGGTTTTGAAAATGACATGTAGCATTACCCCCTCCAGGATTTTTAGCTACAAATATGTTTATCAAGGGGAAAAAAGTTAAATGAGAATTGAGTGTTTTCATTGGAAAAACTTAAAAAATCTTACGGAAATTGACGAACTTCAAGTTTCTTCATCGGATGACACGGATGACTCAACATTCGGCTGTTTTTCGAAGTATTTTCCACCACTTTGAACACAAAGCTTCAGCCGTTCTGTCAACTTCGCAAGGATCGTCTTTTCGAAGTCCTCTTGACGGAGGGTTTTGAAGCATTTTTGAACAGCGGTTTTGATCTAGGCTTTGGAATGGCTCTTTCCTGAGTTAAAGACATTTCTGAGAGGCACATGGTTTGATTCCATAGCCTAGATCAAAACCGCTGTTCGAAAATGCTTCAAAACCCTCCCTCAAGAAGACTTCGAAAAGATGATCCTTGTGAATTGGACAGAGCGGCTGAAGCTTTGTGTTCAAAGTGGTGGAAAATACTTCGAAAAACAGCCGAATGTTGTCATCCGTGTCATCCGATGAAGAAACTTGAAGTTCGTCAATTTCCGTAAGATTTTTTAAGTTTTTTCAATGAAAACACTCAATTCTCATTTAACTTTTTTCCCCTTGATAAACATATTTGTAGCTAAAAATCATGGAGGGGGTAATGCTACATGTCATTTTCAAAACCCTGTAGCTCTGTCATCCCTTAAGCTAGAGAGTTTTTCTTGGTCTTGTTTTATTGGTAATTACGTCTACTTTAAGCACACATAAATTGCAAATCGATAGCTGCTTTCGTTCGCTCAAAATCTGGAAGTGTGCAAAACTTTTTGAACACCCTATGTATATTCTTGCTCCGGCAGATATGCTGCCTACATTGTAAAATTGGAGGCAAAATTGAGGTGAACAATATCTATCAAAAGTTTTCGCATGGTCTCTTCATTCCAACCAGCTCATTAGGGTGTCCCACTTTGAGGGTCACCTCCGAATTTTGATGATGGTACCCTCTAAATCGTTGACCCCACTCATAAAAATAAGATTGCACTAAAGAAAAAAATTCTAAAAAAATTTTTAAGGGTTGCGCACGGCCAAAAACTACCCCCCGGAATAGGGCAAAATGCAGAATTTTGCCCATTTTGACGATTTTTTTAAACAACATTGTAATTGAGCTAGGGTTCTGAAAATTTCACAGTAAGAGCATATGTTAGGGTACTTTAAAGAAAAAATTTTGTTCATGTCATCATGCGTTCCCAATTTTTGCTAAAAATCCTCAAAATCGGCTAAAAACGCGATAATTTCAAGATTTTGTATTTTTGTCTCATGACGATTTTTTCAGCTGACAAAGTTAAATTAATAATGAAACGTACCATTAATTGCATCTTTACACTCATTTTGACCAAAATTCATACTTTACTTTATTAACCCCTCCCCCTCCCCCTTCTGAATAACCGTAAATTCAGCGTTTCCTAAGTTGCGATAGGTGCATGTGATTTTTTTCTTTTTTCCATTAAAGATACTTGTATTCATATTCTTACATTTTAAATGTCTACGTAATGTTTCATTAAAGTGGTAGGTACTAACTTATATACAATGAGAGAGCATGATGTGAACTTGTTTTAAAAAAAAAAAATAATAACTTGTATTTTCGAAAAAAAAATTAATTTTACTAAAATAAATGGGAATGGACTCAAGCGCCAAACAATTAGAAACAGCATCATTCCTTTCTTCTAAAATACTTTCACAGAAGCTCCGCAGAAAAAGAAGAAACACCGACTCAATATTACTTCAAAACACGAGGTGAATCTTCCAAAAAAAAGTGGCAAGGTGCCTAAACAGTAGAGGAAATGCATGATTACTTCCTCTTTGAATACTTAACAACTGACGCTTCAGCGATAATAACAGGACAGTTCATCCCTCTGTTTTCGAAACTGGGGCTATTTTTCGGCGTCAATTTGATCCATCAGAAAGTGATTTGAAAGGACTTCAAAAAGTTTGCTTATTCAGTTTAAGATGTTCAATCTTTGCTGGTAAAAACCTCAGCTTTCAATTATTATTGCCCTTAAAGATGCGATTTGTATTTTACAAAAAAGTAGGTACAATAGTATTAATAAGAGAGTATCAGAGGCTTCATTGGCCACTTTTTCAAGACATTAAAGTTATCTTAGTGATAGGTTGGGGCCTCTGTCTGTTTTTGATTGATTTATTTCTAATGGCATGAAAAGAAAAACATTTAAAGCTTTAGTAACTAAAAAGAGCAATGATAATTGTCTCGGCAAGCTAGTGGAAAATGACACTGAATTACACACATTTTCATTCTATCATATGGTTGATTTCATAACAACGAAAAAATTAAGAAATTGCATCACATGAATAGTCATTGAATCTTCTTTGACGAAACTTCCTCCTAACTTTACCAGGTACATAAAAAGAAAGGAATAATGCATTTCCTCAACTGTTTTTTGTCACCTATTGCCTTGCACTATAACCTTGCCACTTCTTTTTGGAAGACTAAACTCGTTTTTCTGAACTATACTTAGTAGTAGTATGCTCTGAAGTTCTAAAGTATACTAAGTAACCATCCTAACCTAACCTATAACTTTTTCGTAAAATACAAATCGCATCTTTAAGGGCAATAATAATTGAAAGCTGAGGTTTTTACCAGCAAAGATTGAACATCTTAAACTGAATAAGCAAACTTTTTGAAGTCCTTTCAAATCACTTTCTGATGGATCAAATTGACGCCGAAAAATAGCCCCAGTTTCGAAAACAGAGGGATGAACTGTCCTGTTATTATCGCTGAAGCGTCAGTTGTTAAGTATTCAAAGAGGAAGTAATCATGCATTTCCTCTACTGTTTAGGCACCTTGCCACTTTTTTTTGGAAGATTCACCTCGTGTTTTGAAGTAATATTGAGTCGGTGTTTCTTCTTTTTCTGCGGAGCTTCTGTGAAAGTATTTTAGAAGAAAGGAATGATGCTGTTTCTAATTGTTTGGCGCTTGAGTCCATTCCCATTTATTTTAGTAAAATTAATTTTTTTTTCGAAAATACAAGTTATTATTTTTTTTTTTTAAAACAAGTTCACATCATGCTCTCTCATTGTATATAAGTTAGTACCTACCACTTTAATGAAACATTACGTAGACATTTAAAATGTAAGAATATGAATACAAGTATCTTTAATGGAAAAAAGAAAAAAATCACATGCACCTATCGCAACTTAGGAAACGCTGAATTTACGGTTATTCAGAAGGGGGAGGGGGAGGGGTTAATAAAGTAAAGTATGAATTTTGGTCAAAATGAGTGTAAAGATGCAATTAATGGTACGTTTCATTATTAATTTAACTTTGTCAGCTGAAAAAATCGTCATGAGACAAAAATACAAAATCTTGAAATTATCGCGTTTTTAGCCGATTTTGAGGATTTTTAGCAAAAATTGGGAACGCATGATGACATGAACAAAATTTTTTCTTTAAAGTACCCTAACATATGCTCTTACTGTGAAATTTTCAGAACCCTAGCTCAATTACAATGTTGTTTAAAAAAATCGTCAAAATGGGCAAAATTCTGCATTTTGCCCTATTCCGGGGGGTAGTTTTTGGCCGTGCGCAACCCTTAAAAATTTTTTTAGAATTTTTTTCTTTAGTGCAATCTTATTTTTATGAGTGACGTCAACGATTTAGAGGGTACCATCATCAAAATTCGGAGGTGACCCTCAAAGTGGGACACCCTAATGAGCTCATAGAGCAAGATCAGTCTATGTTTTTTCGAACAGATCTCTATTCGTGCTCCGGCAGGCATGTTGCCTATGCAGCAAAATTGTAGGCGAACTTCAATTAGACGATATCTACCGCTCTAAGACCTTCCCATGTTTTCGTAAAAGCTAAAGCTCTTTTTTGTTCCGGCAAAAGTTTGCATCAGACCCTCCTATGAAGATGAGTTGGTTACTTACGGACTTTGTGTGCTGCCGGTGACCTGCGAGATCTTAAAAGAGGCATGTGGCTGAACACGTCGTACACGTTCAGGTGGATTTTCGCCGTTTCACCTACATTGGTATCCAACTCAAACTGTCCATTACTGAACTGTAATGAAAAAACGCACAATAGTTTAGCTTAAACATATCCATCCATCCACCCAAAGAAAAGAAGAGAAAGAACACACGCGTGTTTTACACTCACGAATTGTTCAATTTTGTGAGCTTTTTTATCTTGGATCAATTACAATAATTCAGATGCTTAGAGGACAGGGCGCACAAGTGTTATAGTTTTTGAAAAAAAATGGAGGTTTTAATGATTTCAAGTAAAACTAGTCTTGAAGAATATTTTTTGGAAAATTCGCTCCCATATACTGATAATTATTTAAGCATCCAAAAGTCAGTTTGAACTTTCTTTCCGCCATAAGGATCCGTGTAATTATGAAACTTCAAACGTATATTTCCTGAATTAGCAAAAACTGCACTTATGTTCCTTGTCCTCCAAGCCCCTTAACTAACTCTCACTAATTTCCCTCTTCGATGCGGCTTTTTCGCTTGGAGTTTTATGGCTTAAACTAAACTTTAAATTGGAAACGAGTTTGAAATGAGCCCTCGATCTTTTCAAATTCATATATCATTCATACTTGTCCATATTACATTTTCATCCATATTATTCATGTTACAATTGAGTAAATTTATATTTCAACACTCTCGGCTAATTTTTGTCGCTGTTTAAACCTCTGTGTTTATTTTTTTGTAACTTGCGTTTGGTTTTAATGTTGATTAAATAAGTAAACAATCTGGAATGAAAGTCTTAATGTTGGAATTTTAGCACGAGTGGTCGTTCATACTTATCCCAGTTTACTTTTTTTGTTGAATGTTGCAAAAACCGTCAAACTTACGTGAATCAAGAATGAGAATGCAAAAGTGACTCTAAGTGCTAAAGATTGAGCAAAAAACCGCATTGTAGAGGCAAGAAAGGGTCAAGCACAATCTTCACGAGCAGCAAGAACGGTATGACGTGCAGTTCATCGATGCATATGACCGAGGTAACGGATGTAAGTACCTCTCTACACTTATCAGTACCAACGTAATAATGGTTTGATGCTTTCTGATGATTGCGGCAATGTTTTGTTTTTTTTTTTTTTTTTTTTTTTTTTTTTTTTAAGGAAAAAAGGTGTTACTGAATTCGTTTTATCATGCTCTCTAAGCGTAATAAACAGAGCCATGAGTACTGTAGATAATCAATATCACCCAGTTTCATTAATTTTAAATTGCAAAATTGCATTATTGGCATGATTGGTAGCAGTGGCGGATGGGTGTCGCAAAGTGCACGGAAGCGCTATATAAGAGCGGCATGTTATTAGTAATTGTAGTAGTAGAAGTAGTAGTAGTGGTAGTAGTAGTAGTAGCAGTAGTAGTAGTAGTAGTAGTAGTAGTAGTAGTGGTAGTAGTAGTAATAATAATAATTCATTACCTTATTCATAATGGCCGGTGGTTGGTTTGGAGCCATCATCCTGAAAATATACTAAATATAATATAACTATTTAATTTTTATTAATTTTGGTCTGAACTGAGCGGCTAAGTTCTCTGGCCGCTTCGGTGTCCAACCCTTCGAAGTGCTTAGCGATTGAGCATTTACTCTTATGATTTTGTATTATAAATTTAAGGATAGTTTTTAACCGTCAACTACCTATGCACGTACCGTATGAATTTATGCAGGAAAAAGCAATGGGAATCAATTTTATACTGCAATGCAGCTTCTTGGCTTTAATCCTATAGAAATGAATTGTCATGCAGAAAACTTGTTTTTTCGAGATATTGACCTTTAATCCTCTTCCTTTTTCAAGCTCCGAAACTAGCGCACCCTTCGCTTTCTAACATTCCAAAATTTAATTTTGTTTCTTATTGCTCCCAAAATGTATTTCCCCGCCGTTCCCTAATATCCCAAAAGTGATTGTCCCTTAAAGCTAATCGTTGCTTTTAAGCCATTAAGTCTGATAAACCACTACACTACAATTAATTTAATTTCTTCCGAAGTCCATATTAAAACTAATACTCTGATCCCTTAAAGTCTAGTGTTGTTTTCGAGCCATTCAGTCTGATATACTATTATAATATTCTTCTTTTTTATTATTTTATTTATTTATTTTTTTTTTTATTATCGGTCATTATTTCTCTCCGATGGTTCTGATATCTATCTATGGAGTCTTGACACGGAAACTAAAAATGGCTTTGATGAAGGCTGCATGTAAGCTACAAGAGTATGCAGTTACCCNGGGGGGTGAGGTCGACCGGAACAGAGAGGGTGGTGCATCTCCCCGCAGCGGAACCAACCTGTTCAGCCCCGGTATTGGCCTGCGCACGGACAAGTGGAGAAATAAATACCCACTGTACGCATCATGTTAACATTCCGCTGAACAAGCTTACTGTTAGCTCAGCGGAAGACACGCTTAAGCTGGAACTTACCTAAAGGATATCCGGGAGAATATCCCCCACCAAACTCAATCTGCAAATGAGGAGACACTGAGAGCAAATAGCATGTAAATTGAAAATACGTTCCACTGACTGATATTTTTCGAACTTTTGGATTAATTTTTTACACCGAAAAATAAGTGAAGTTGATTTAACATTATGGATGTGAAAACAGTGTGTGAGAACTTCTAAACTGCTGAGTGGCCCGCTAGAGGAGTTAATTCAGCAATGCCAGTATGTAAAACTAACTGCTATGGCGGGTAATTCAGCATTTTAGAAGTTCTCGCACACTTTTGTTACATCCAGAATGTTAAATCAACTCCACTTTTTTTTCGGTGTAGGTATAGTTTTGTAGCGCTAACTCCATGAATAAACGGTTTGTTTACAAAGTAATGGATAAAGAAATGTAATAATTCAGAAGTAAAGAAACAAGGTAGAAAGCACTGATTATTATTGAGCTTGGATTTCAAGCAAAAGTTTTTTTTCTCCCTGAATACATGGCATCAGCTTGCATACTCGCGATTGCTCGTAGTGAAATGTGACCTCCTGAAAAAAAAGGATTGCTATTTCACCGATTTAGGGTGGAGCAAGATTTGCTTCACTTCGTAAAGCTTTCTTATCCCTGCACGGTGTTGAATCAAGTGAACGACCAGCACGAATTGCTACACCGATTTGCTACATCTGCGCGCCTTCATGCAGTTAATCTTGCATCGAGTGGCTTGGAAGTGTAGCTGCATTTTTTTGTATTGGTACTTTGCGAACAGTAAAAATAGCTCAATAGTTAGGCTGAAATAGCGGAATTTACTGAAAAATAGCGAAATTTACGGGAAAACAGCGAAATTTGCGGAAGAATAACGAAAAAGGTAACAGATGTAGCTTTTCAGAGAGCAAAATCACCTACACGCGTGTGTGTAAGTTAGCTGAAATTTGTGTACTGATTTTACCTGCATGGTTTGCACGTTTGTTTTTTAGCTACACCATGCCATGAAATACCCGCGTGCACGGCAATTTCAGCAATATTTTTTTTCAGTGTGGGTTTGGTTAGGTCACGAAACTAAACTAACTTCTCGGCAAAGCGGAAGGTATCGCTGTAATTTGAAGGCGCTCCGAACCGATGTAAAATCAGTGACCTCAATTGGGTTTGGTTAGGTCACGCAACTAAACTGACTTCCCGGCGAAGCGGAAGGTATCGCCGTCATTTGACGGCGCTCCAAGCCGTGGTCGTGCTTTCGAAGTTCTTCACTTCTCCGTCAATAAAAACTTTACTATTCCAACGCGAATTATTGCAATTTGACGAGTTAAAACACACTCCGCCTCCAAATTGCCAGCAATCGACTGCTTGCAGTTGGTTCCACCGAAGAGAACAAAATGGCACAGAAAATAGATTGAGTCGCAGCTAGTTTTGAACTTTTTAAACAGCATTTTTTTCTCCTGGCCAAACATCAAATTTTAACTAAAGATATTCAGCGTGCGGAAATTTGCGTCTCTTTTTTGCGTTGAGTCTCGTGAACGTATGAATTTTCAAATCAGAGGTAGATCCAGCAATTTGGCAACACCGGATTTCCTTTATTTAAAGCTGTGCTAAATAATTGATTCCTTCAACGTCAATCACCAATTAGTTCGCTTTAAATCTATATTTATATCTATCGCAGGCAACCCTACTTTGATAGTGGAAGTCACAAGTAGGGCTCGCACATTATTGATGAGTTATTTTTCCCAAAATATTGAAAACTCGTGAGCCCTTCTCCTTCAATTTACAAAATATTGTAAACTGACAAAATTTGGCTATCTGCCTAGGTATTTGATCATTACATGCCTGATTTGACTAATTGCCTGCGACAGATATAAATACAAATTTAAAGCGAACTAATTGGTGATTGACGTGGAAGGACAAGCAAGCGCACCCGGTGAACAGGAGAAGGTCTCATTCAGCTGGTGTAATCCAGCCTGTTAAGGGTACTTAGCCGTGTTCGGCAAAGATATTCCCGGAAAACTTACAAGCTCGTTAACTGAAATCCAGTGTAAAATGATGGTACGTTTTGCTCTAATCAGACGTTTAGGATCTAATCCATCACAGCAACCGTACGAATGCAAAGCAGTATCTTTTGCAAGTTTCGTATTTCACGATTTACGCTACTGTCCAGCTTTGATCAATCCGAGAAGTTTAAGGGCCAAACAAAGTTCCGTTACTCGCGTAGCTTTTACCCCCACAATGTCAACTCAAGTCTTGTAGAATGATTGCTGCGATCTGGTTACGTAAACCATGAGCAAACATGTTTCTGTGCCCAATAAATCGTATTCGATACATCAAACGGGTGAGATCATGTGAGATTGTATCGATATCGATTGGTTCAAAACATAACATAGCCTCAAAAGTTAATTCAGAAATCTGAGAGAACGGATCTTTTGAAACAGATTTTTTATTCTTTTGAGTACCAAATGCCAATGCAAAGTGAAATTGTCAGGAAATGTCTCATTTTTAGCTTTTCCAATTAAAATCCTTAAAGTTTGGTTTGAGGTTATGTTCTATTGTTTTGAACCAAACGATACATCGAACCGTTATCGAATACGGTCTATAGCAAACCACCTCATTGCTGCCGTGCTGAGAAAAAGTGCCGTATGAGCCTTAACCCTAGTCTGCCAAATATGGGTCGTTTGTGACCCGGCGCTTCGTAAAAGAACGCCCATTTTTCACCCGCTGCCCCTGGAAACTTTACCTTCTATTCACAAATAGCTCTACAAAAACATTGAATTACACGACTTTAAAAGAAAAACCACTGAAAAAAAATTATCGAGTAGATAGAGCTTTTTTTTTCACAACTACCGCGAGAACGACAATACCGGGTCAGTTTTGATCCGTCTCCCATTTCCTGCGGAATTTTCGGTTTTTTTTTTTATTTCAACGACCAATGATAATGCTGCCATCATCCCTGAGGTAAAATCGCAGCCAGAAATCATCCTTCATACTACAATAAAACTAAAACAGGAGTTGATACGATGGCTCAAATGGTCAGGTGCTACACGACCAGACGACAGACGGGACGGTGGCCTTTTGCTTTTTTCATGAATATGCTGAATGTTGGCTAATATAAACTTTGGAAGAAAAAGAATATATTAGGCCTATAATTCTAATTTCAGGTTTCCCGGATGTAAAACATTATATAAAATACGTGCATGCATCAAACAAAAACTAATAAAACAGAAGATCCTGTGTACTTTAAATACGGGTCTAAACTGACCCAGTGTTGGCAAACTAGTTGAAAAAACTTGTTTGGAAGACTAGGGTTGAGGGGTTGCCAAATTTCTTTGACAAAACTCAAATTTTCGGGAAAATTTATATATATTTCTAATCGGAGAATTTTAGTTCGAAATTTGATCTAAAACTCTGAAAATTTCAAGGAAATATATTCATAACTTTCTTATAAAAATAAATATTTCCTGGTAGGAAATTTGGCAACATTTGAATACTCATACGGCGTTTTTCTTCAGCACGGCAGAATGGCGCAGACGCACTGATAATCGATTCGATGAACTTCAGGAGGAAATTGAACCGTCGATTCTCGTCATCAACTCCTCACAAAGCATTTCATTCATGGCTAAATAATATGTTTAAAGCCATTTTATTCCAGCTATTTATTTTCCAGGAAGCCAAAATGAAAAAAAAGGGAAAAAAGGTAAAGAAGTAATGTGAAAAATTTCGAATCATCGAATGAGGGCTCATTGAGAAACAAGAGGAGATATTATCTGCCGGGCCCTTTTTCATACCAGTTCTCAGCTTGTAGATTCTAGTTCCGCCACTGTGTAAACACAAGTGGTCTGTTTTGCAAAATAAACAGGGGGTACATTCAAGGGGTCAAAGTCAGAGGGGCCTAATTGCATTGCAACGTTGTAAAATTTGACTTAACAAATTATATGTTGATTTAAGGTGGAATTGTTGCTATTAATTTCTTATAAATTATGATTTCTGATAAATATTCAAAATTCATTTAAAAAGCGCGGTGAACTGGTCGAATAGGTTGAAATTGCTTTTTACTATGAATCAAATACTTACAGCATTACAGTGGGAAAAGAACGGCACATAAGAACAATTATTTTCCTGGACTGTCCTTAACAAAATAATTTGGAATATTTGTCTTACAATTCTTCAATCCTTCTATAACCAATATGGCGCAATCAGAAATATGCTAAGGCCATAGAGTACATAGAGTCGTAATGTAAATGGGAGTGCTGGCGCCGTGTTCTGCTCGACGAGTTCCGAGCCCGGTGTGCGCCGAGTTCGGGTCACTTTTTCGATACAAGTTCGATCCAAAATAGCGGTGCGGAATACGTGGTGATCCCTATCTTCTTCGTTTACATCGGATGGCCGGGTACCCGTGTATCGCAAACAATCGATTATGTATCGGAAAAGTGACCCGGCGTCACACAGGAGTCTCACAGGAATTCGGGACCTGGAAAATGCTTAAAAATGGCGCCAGCTCACCCACTTACATTACGACTCTATGTACTCTATGGCTAAGGCCCTACTCTAAGAATGACAACCTGAAGAACGAAAAAGTAAGGAATAATGTACAAGCAGGAAATTGATAGGTATAAGCAAAGAGGAGACACAGGAAATCATTTTATTTCACACATTAACAAGTATACAGCTTTATTCAAATGAAATTATGTAAGCACCACCAAATAAGTTTGGTTTTATTTGTTCGTTTTTCTGCAACCGTTTAAAAAGTCTCAGGAATCAAACTACAAGTGAAAAAATGCATTTAGGGAATTAAATATTCGGTACATATCATGTTTGATGTGGCTTGCAATCTTAGCTGCTGAAAGGTGAAAGCAAGTTGAATCTGTCGCCACTCCATATTTGTTTCGCCTCTTCAGGATCTGTAAATGCAAAATAAAATCTAAATGTTTACGGAGAAAACGCACTCCAGTGAAAATTGTTGGTCGAAATTGGACTTCTCAAAAGAAAAATATTGGTCTTCACTACGATTACTCACAGTTGAGAGTTTTAAAAATGAAGTCTATCATGAAAAAAAATCGTAAAGGTCACAAAACAATCATTTTGTGACCTTTTAAATCCATTGAATGTTTTCTTAGTTGCGTGGTAAATATATTATATTTTTAGGCATTAAATCTTGTTGTCATGCGTTCCTGTGACTCCCGATCCTAAAGTGCCGGAGTTCAACAAGCAACATGAAATAACAGCTCCAAACTGGAGCGTAGTGAAGTTGCATCACCAAAAAATGAAGGCGATTTTAATGATCTTAAACTAACAAGGTCTAATTACACAGCGCAGCACAGAACCGTAACCACGATGTGTATCCTGCATTTCGACGGTGAAAGTCGGCAATCACATAACTCGTTTGCAGTGTCTGAAAATCTCCGCCTCTACGTCATTTTTTTATAGGAGAACAAATTGATATTATTTCTTGAAGTTTTTGCAGAATTTTCTTCGCATTGAGAAGAAAAATCATGACAGTTTTAAAGAATTGCCGTTGAGTAGTTTTCCATTTAAAAAATAAAGTATGACAGGAAGTCTGCGACGTCGCAAACCGAGTTATGTAATTGCCGACTTTCACCGTCGGTATAGAAGTAATAACTGGATAATTACTTATTTCTATAATGATTCTTCTTGATTGAAAGACGTTCAATGCTGCCGTGATAACGTAGAGAGCAATAAGTGTCAAGTTTTCGAAATCGAGTCTCCTTCAAAATTCGTTCAATCTCTTATAGATGAAATAGCAACATCCTTAGTGATCGTTTTAAACCGAGAAACATAAGAAACGCCATAATAAGTGCCGAAAGTGCGC